CTGGTCCCAGGAGTTACAAGGAACGGTTGTCCGACCAATCGCAGCAGGAGCTCACTGGCAACTCGGTAAAGTCGAGTCCCATGGAGGATGGTTCGCTAGAGTGCTAGATAAGCTGATAGCTGAACACCAGCCGGCAAACAAAGAGGAATGGCTTCAATGTGTCAGTCATGCTCACATCAAGAATCAAATGCTCCAAGTTCACGGATTTTCACCTCATCAATTCATGTTTGGAAAGAATCCCAACATCCCAGAAGACTTGATGAGCGAACCATTGCAGATCATTCCGGCTACGAGTCCACTGACCGACGATGCCATAGCTCGTGCACAAGCCATGCGCACCACAGCCAGATCGGCCCTAATTCAAATGCAGGACGATCGTGCCCTCCGAGTGTCTTTGTTAGCAAGACCTCGCACGTCCACCGAGTTCGTTCCAGGTGATATGGTAGCCTACTGGAGAAATCAAAAAATGGGTACAAGGTAGTCTTCATGCTGGAGGTAAATGGTGGGGTACTGCAATTGTCCTGGGTAAAGTGGGTCGTAATTATGTGTTGATGCATCGCCGTCAGGTGATCCGTTGTGCTCCAGAACAGGTTCGTGCGGCCACAACAGAAGAAAAGATCACTCTTGGCACTCCTCAGGCCGAATTGTTAGGCATCAAGGATATGATCGATCAAGGGAATATCCGTAGCCAGCAATTCTTGGACTTGGTTGCCCAATCATATCCCCCTGAAGCGGGAGAGACCCCAATGCCAGAGACCGACTCTGGCCAGCCTGAATCTGATCCTGTTCGAGCACCGGACGCAGTGGAAGACCCTGGTCAATCCGTGCTCATGGAACTGGGAACTCGAGTGCCACATGAAAGTGAAGTCTCAAATCAGAAAGACAATCCAGAGTCGTCTGAAAACCCCGAAGACCTCGTCAAAGACAAGAAAGAGAGTCTCCCAAGTCCGCATGATTCACAGTATGGACCTATTCGTAGGCGAATCACTGGCAAAGATGGACCATTTTCACTTTGGCGCCCAGCTCCAATTCAGCAGGATGAATTTGTGGAGATCATGAAAGAACTTGTTTCACCGTTGGTGGAGCAGGCAATTGAATCCACCTCACCGGCTCATGAAGAACACAAGCGAGCAAGATCTGAAATGGATTCTGCCGAGGCAGGAGAGCCAGCACCGTCGAGACCACGACTGAGTGAAGCACTGTCGGTCGAAGAATGTTCTGATCTAAGTAAGCTCATGGATGAAGCTCCCTTTGAAGTGTTCATGTCCGAGTATCTCAAGAAGAAAATGAAAAAGGAACTTCGTCATAGCAACAATCCCCCCGAACTGCAAGCCAAGATCGATGAAGGCAAACGAAATGAATGGAACACCATTGTCAACAAGGATAATGCCGTTCGTTTGCATTTCGGTAGAAGGGCAGCTCAGATCAAGAAAGATCACGCCGATCGCTTCATAGGAAGTCGTTTTGCGCTGACTCGCAAGCCGTTGGAAGAAGGGGGTCATGTCGATCCAAACGACTGGTCTTCATTCCTGGTCAAAGGTAGGTGGTGTTTACAAGGCCACCTGGACCCGGACTTGACTCTCAAGGCCGAGCAAGGCATGTTGAAGTCCCCGACATTAAGTCAACTAGGTAGGATGACCCTAATGCAAATCATCAGTTCAATGAAGTGGAACTTGCAACTCGGGGATATTCGTGGCGCCTTCCTCGAAGCCGGTCCAATAGATGAGAAATTCCGTCCTCTCTTTGCACACCAACCAGCAGGTGGTATACCTGGGGTACCTAGTGACGCTGTGATAGAAGTGACCGGAAACGTCTACGGACAGAACGACGCTCCTGCCGCATGGTTCAAAGAGTTTACATCCTTTGTTTTGACCAGTGGTTGGACCCAAAGCAAACTGGACCCCTGCTTGTTTACCTTGAGAGATCCACAGTCCTCCTCTTTGACTGCTGTGATGGGTGTGCATGTTGACGACACAGCTCTAGGAGGAAATGAACAAAGTGAAGTCTTTCAGGAGGCATTGCGAAGACTCCGAAAGCGGTTTCCGTACAGAAAGTGGCGAATCAACGAGGGTGAATTCTGTGGTGCGTGGTACAAACAAGATCCTGATAAAACCATAACCATGAGCATGCAAGCGTTTGCAGAAAAGATTAGGTCCATCAATGTCCCTAGAGGTAGCAATCCAGAGGAACAGTTGAACTCCGGTCAGGTGAAGGTGCTTCGAGCCGTCAACGGAAGTTTGAACTGGTTGTCATCACAATCAAGGCCCGACTTGAGTGTTCAGACCAGTTTGAGCCAGCAATCCTTCCCTCACCCAACGATTAAGGACTTTAGAAATGCCAATCATGCCATCCGTCATGCTCGACAAGAAAGTCAAATGGGGATCATTTTCAAAAGCATTGATCCCAAAGAACTCACCCTGGTGTGTCACTCCGATTCCGCCTTCGCAAATGTTGGGTCACACACTCAAGCTGGTTACATCATTGCTTTCACTCGTAAAAGTTTGCAAGAAGGCATGGAAGCGGAATGGACTCCCGCCTGTTGGAAAAGTTACAAAATGTCTCGGGCAGTGAGTAGCACACTGGCTGCTGAAAGCCAGGCAATGTCCACAGCATCAGGAACTGTGGAATGGCTCGCACTGCTTTTGTCCGAGATATTGGATGGACCTTTGCTGGTTCGTGATTGCCGCCTAAGGTTGAAAAATAGGCCTCCAATTCTGATCACGGATTGCAAGAGTTTATATGATCATTTGCATTCGCCTTCTTCACCTACGTCCATAGAGGATAGAAGAACCAGTATAGATGTGGTTATCATCCGAGAAAGCGTTCGCTTGATGCAAGCTCACGTTCGATGGGTTCCGACCGACCGGATGCTCGCCGATGGGTTGACTAAGGATAGTGGTGGTCCCATAGATTTAATGCGTGCTTGTATCAAAAGAGCCTCTTACCAGATTAGTCCCGAAGACACGGTGCTGAAATATCAGGCTCTTGAACGCGACCGTAGAATCCAGAAACGGTCATCACAGGTCCCTAATTAAGTTAGTTAGCTGTGAGAGTACCTGTCCGCAGGTACATGCCGGGGAGTGACGTGAATGTGATTGATGGGGCAATCCATGTGTCCGTGGCTCAAGCTGCATTTTTGGAGTTCGAGGTGACACCCACCTTTTGCTTTTGTCATAGCCAGAAACATGTCTGGCCCATCTGAAGAGCAGATGAAGAAAGTCCGCTCTTTGCTCGATGCCATCAGGAAAGATGGCACTATGGAGTTGCTGATTGCCGCCTTGCACGATGAGAGTGGTGAAGATCTCTCAGAGTTCGAGTTGCTCTCTCCTTCCTCGAAGCCCCAAGGAAGCATGACTGATGCTTCAAAAAGACGATCCGATGAGGTCAGTTCATCGGAAGCTCCATGTTTGAAGCAACGCCCCATTGCTCCACACGCTGGAGGAAAGCAGCCTGATGATCGCTTCCCACCTGGCATCTCCTCTCTCACTGAGTGGGGAAAGACCGTGCTTCAGTATGGCAAGTTCGGAAAAGCTGATCTCACCTATGCAGAAATGGCCGATGATCCTGCTAAGGACAAGAGTTCTTACTGTACTTGGATCAAGTCCCAGAAGGACAGGGACACTCTCCATGTGCAGCTTCGTGATTTCGGCAAGTACTTGGCAGCTCGTACCGATTCAGCCGAGTCGGGAGTGATCTGCTATCCTGGAAGCTCGCTACCCCGACAGATGCGGGGTTGAAAGGAAGTTGAGATCGAGCCTTCGGCAATGCAATTCTGCCTGCAGCCCCGTTTCGTGCGAAAGCTATAAGTCAAAATGACAGTAGAAAGCTGCAGACTTGAGCATAAAAAAATATAGTTTAAGCAGTGTCGAAGCAGCCGATTGCCGTTCGTCATGTGCACCTTGTCATGACCGCAGGGACCCTTGCTCGAAGGAAAAAGGAGCCCGCGCGACCTTCAGGAGAAGGGTGGTTTTCCGCAATTGGTAGCGGAGCCCGGGACCGCAAAGCGGGACCGGGCTCCCGCATGGACGTTTTCGTTGTCGTGACCCTCTAGGAAGGGGGTGTGATTCGAAGCAGCCGACTGTGATCCAGGGACGCAAGCATGACTTCCGCTTCCTCCAAAAATCCTGCCGAGGTAGGACCTGTGAGAGTTTTCACCGGCGACACTGAAGATTTCCGTGAGTACCGCCGTTGGAAGACCTGGTGCCTCAACAAGATGTTGACCATGGACAAATTGTCTGAAGCGGCTCGGGGAGCCTATATCATGACATTGTTGGCTGGAAAGGCCTATGAAACGGTCGAACATCTTGACCCTGCCGATTATCAGAAGAAGGATGGCGACAAGTTGATCTGGCAGTTGTTGGATGCCAGATTCCCCAAGCTGGACGCCGTTGATGAGTTGAGCGAGATTCTGTCCGAGGTTTTCTCACTGAAAGCCCGAGAGGGCGAGACCATGAAACAATGGTCAGCTCGCGCCACCGAGCTGTTCGACCGCTGCAATCGGAAGGCTGGAGTCTCATTTCCGGATGAGGCCAAGGGCTGGATTCTGCTGAACCGGGCCATGCTGAATGATGAACAGCGAGCAGTGGTGGTTTCGCGTGCTCGAGGAGATTTGAAGCGTGAATCCATCGCCTCAGCTCTTCGCTCCTGCTATCCTGATCTGGTGATCAAACGAAAAGGTGCAGCCAGTGTTGAGGAGACCCTCGCAGTCCAACCTTCTGACCCTCAGGACCTGGCTGAAGAGCTAGACTTCGAAGATGTTGAAGAGTTCTTGACGGACCATACGGGTCGTGATCTTCCCCAAGGTGAAGATGAAGGGTATCCTGAGCAGGAGGTGGCGGAGGTCCTCGCAGCATCCTGGCGTGAGAAGCGTCAAGAGTTGAACAAGCTTCAAAGGACAAGACAGTTCCAAAAGGCCAAAGATGTGCGCCGCTCATTTAGAGTTGAGATTGAGGAACTGAAGAAACAGACTACCTGCAATAAGTGTGGGAAGCGTGGACATTGGGCAAGAGAGTGTCGCAGTGGCAACAAGGGTTCGGGTAAAGGCAGTGCACCATCTGGATCTACATCCACTTCTGGTGTTGCTATGGTAGAATCTGAACTCGACTTTGTGGCGATGGCCTCGGAACGCCCATCCATGCTGGAACGTCTGCAGCTCAAAAGGGTTCAGGAGGCCACGGCATGCCCACCTTTCGAAATCATGTTGATTTCCAGCCCCGGTTTTGGCGTGTTGGATAGCGGATGTGGCCGGACCATCATTGGCAAAGCGACCCTCCTGGAATTTGAGCGTCTGTGGAAACAACAGGGTGTGGTGATTCCTCAGCCAGTATCTGAGGTGCATCAGTTCCGATTTGGAAATGGCCACGTGGAAACTTCCACGGAATCGGTTTGCATCCCAGTGTGGCTCGCTGGCAAGCGCGGTTCAATCCGTGCTGCTATAGTGAGCGGTTCAGCTCCGCTCCTGATCAGTCGCACAGCATTGAAAGCTCTACAAGCCTCCATCGATTTTCACAACGATGAGCTGCGGGTATTTAATGAAGTTGTCATTCCATTGAAGACAAATGCAGCTGGTCAATATGTGATCCAGTTGATGCAGGACAGCTCACCATCGCAAGTCAAAGCACCACTGTTCGAAGAGGTTATGCTGACTGAGCTTCCACCATTGCCGGCTTTGCATGCATCCGATCCTAGGAAGCCTCCGTGTAATAGTCCAAGTGAAGACCAAGAGCCGACCGAGTCCGAAGATGCCTCAGCAGCCAATGCTGACCATAGGTCCAGTGCCTCGTACTCGAAGCCATTTGTCGAGGGACCATCCACTGATGCCGCCGCCATGCGATGCTGGGTGCAGGAGGACAGTGGGGTTTCTAAGATTCCATGGGTGTCATCCTGTGGACCGTCTTGGCATACGATTCACAAACGTGTTGTTCTGGACGCCGTCACTAAGAGAGTGCTAGCATCACATGAGTTTCAAGATCGGCAAAGCCAGAGGATGAGTATTGTTCCTCTTCCTCCTCATTCGGGACATGTGATCACCAAGTTCTTCCACACTGATCCCAGAGTGGCATCTGAGACGACTCCTGGGGAAGGGGATTGTGTGTGGGTTCCATCAGCTCACCAGTTTCGACAGTTGAACAAGCAAATCGAAGTGTGTCACGAAACTTTGGTTAGCCAAACAGAACCGGTCATTGTCCAAGAGGTGTTTTCACCTCCACGCTTTGCCCTGGAAGTTAAGGCTCATGGTCTGAAGGCCTTCTCGTATGATCTTAAGAATGGATTCGATCTCTCAACCCGATCCGACAGGAGTCGAGTGGAAGAAGCACTGGAGAAACATCCACCGGAGCTGCTCGTTCTGTGCCCACCTTGCACAGATGAAGGGGGATGGTTTTTTCTTGAACAGCTCTAAGTGGGATCGACTGCAGTATCTAAAAAGAGTTGCCCAGAGTCGTAGTTTCATCAAATGGTGTTGCAAACTGTTTCATCAACAGGTAAATCGAGGCAAACGAGCTTTGTTTGAGCATCCAACCGGAGCCAAGACCTGGTCGTATCCTGAAGTCCAGTCTCTCTGTCGCAAGCACTATACGGTGAAACTTCACATGTGCAGGTACGGGATGCAGTTGCCCGGGAGTGAGAGATTCATTAGGAAGAGCACCCGTCTGCTGGTCAGTCATGAAGACATGCAGGTCCTGTCTAAGCTGTGTGAAGGGGTAGGTAAACATGAAGCCCATGATGTAGTAGCTGGACGTTGGCCAGGTGTCTCGTCAGTCAGCCAATATGCAGGACAATACCCCCGACCTTTTGTGAAAGCCGTCCTCCACACAGTACCTGCATTTCGAGACCGGACCAGCCAGAACGAAGTCCTGGAAGTCATCGAAGATGATCTGTCTGCCAGTGCATGGAATGAAGTGAATGCTGTCGCTCGCGTTTCCGTCCGAACCGATGAAGAGCTCAAGCCAGTACTCATGAAGCTTCACAAAAACTTAGGACATCCACCAAATCATGACCTGGTTCGGGTGTTGAAACACGGACAAGCTAGTGAACAAGCCCTGAAACTGGCCAAGGATTTCTCGTGTGACTTCTGTAAGAGTCAGAGTCGACCATCCGTTCCATTGCCAGCGCAGTCCCGTCGCATTACCGAAGTCAATCACCAAGTAGGACTAGATGTGAAACTGCTTCAGGGGTGGCGAGTCAATCAGAAGATCAAAGCTCTTAATCTAGTGGACTATGCTAGCGGATTTCAGCGAATGATTCCGTTCTTTGAACCTGAGACCTCAAGTGTGATTCGACAACTGTATCAGGACAATTTCTGAAGATGCAGTGACCTTCAAGACACCATCCAGAATCTCACATGTGCGTTTTTGAAGTCGAGGCATACCACCAAGGTATTTTTCTTCGACCTGCCAAGGACGATTGGATCGCCTTTGGCTCAAGGATTTGTGTCCGAGGCTGCCACATCACGCGGTGCG